TATATATACATTTGCATACATGTAAGTGATGAATAAAATCTACATATATTGGTTATTTATAGTTTATAAATAGTATAAGTTTAAACATATTCAAACAATTTGCTATATATAAAGTTGTAATTTTCTTTCTAATATTGTTTGTTTCAGCTATCTTATAAAGTATAAAGGTTCTTTATAAATTATTTTATATTTTTGGATATTACGTTCAACTTCGATTCAATCATTCGGATCTATAAATCTTTATTGCACTAATCTATTTTTTTCTTGTGTCTCTTGAATATAATTCAAAATGCCTAATAAAAAAAGTCAAAGAGAAAAATTATGTCGGAAAGTTAATGAAAAACTTCATTGTATTAGCAACAATTAGTGAAACGGATCAATTAGCAAATAATGAAATATTCTTAGATGAATATTATAATCAGAATTGTAAAAAAATATATAATAGTGTTGATAATGAAATTGTTAATAAAAATGATTTTAAATAAAATGATTAATGATAATAATGATAATGATTTTTTAAATGATGATAACATTTTATTTAATCAAAGCAATAATTTGGAACAGAATGATTATTCTTTTCTTAATGATTTACAGCAACGTAATGATTAATATTTCACCTCCATTATTTGCTAAGCCTAAGGAATCTCTTTCCACAAAATTAGGAAAATGGTCTATTGACAGAAATGTTAGTTTAACTGCATTTAAACAGTTATTAGATATACTACGCGAAGAACCATCATTAATTAATATCTTGCCAGCTGATCCACGTACTATTTTGAAAACACCCCGCAAATCTAATTTAATAATTAATATAAAAGTCACTATTTTTTATCTTTGAAACATAATATAACTGTCGATCAAAATACAGAATTTTTTCTCGCAATTAATATTGACGGGCTGCCTTTAACAAAAAGCACATCAAGTTCCTTTTGGCTAATTTTGGGTACAGTTAAATCAATTAAAAATCTAAAAAATCAAGTATTCATAATAGCTTTACATTATGGAAATGAAAAACCTAAAGCCAATGAATTTTTAAAGGATTTTGTAGAAGAATGTATAAAATTATCAAATGGAATAATGATACAATCTGTTTTATGTAAATTCAAAATTTCAATGTTAATTTGTGATAAAAAAATCTCACATTTTATCTATTAAAAGTCATTGAATTATTTCTCATGTAAAGTGTGATCAGGAAGGGGATATGGAAATAACGTTTTATGCTTCGTTGAAACTGAAAATTTAAAAAAAAAAACAGATCATTTTTAGAAATACCCTTCAAATCGAACAACACAGGAGAAACACTTTGGCTTCAAATTCCCAATTTTAATATGATTGATAATACCTTTTGATTATATGCATAATTTTATTTGAAAAAAATTTTATGTTGTAATTTATTGGATATTTGGCAAGCCTCCTCATAAATTACGTGCTTTAAATTTAATAAAATTAACAATAATCTTCTTTAAAAAAATTATTCCTTGTGATTTTGCAATAAAAACTCGGCCAATAAACGAATGTAAAAGATTTAAAATTTAGACTTTTTTGTTATATACAGGCCCAATAGTTGGAAATAATACCATTAAAAAGTATTAATTTTCTTTTTTTAGCTAGCTCAATATTGATAAGTAATCAGTACACAAAATTTGAAAATTATATTTCATATGCCGAAAACCTAATAAAATATTTTATTAAGAATTCAATTAAAATTTATGGACCCGATTTTATTTCACACAACATACATAGTCTATTGCATTTAAGTGATTGTGTACGTTTATTTGGTTCACTTGATGAATTCAGTGCTTTTGCATTTGAAAATCATATTTGAAAAAGTATATCCGTAGACATTCGCAGCAGCTACAACAAGTTGTGTTAGAGTTAGTGAGGATAATAATTTTTTGCAACCAATACAATTTGTAAATGATAATTCCATAACATTATTGCAGGAACATTTTAATGGAATAATTGAGGCAGTACAGGAAACTTAAAACGATTAATTCCTTAAATATTTTGTAGCAGATCGATTTGTCGAATTGACCGATTCAACTATCGTTGAAATACTAAATTTTGCATCATATCAAAATGAAATATTTTTAATAGGTATAAGTATATTCCTCACAAAGATTTTTATTCAAAACCATGTTTTTCTTCATTATTTGATATTAAAGTTATTATAAAATATAATACTATATTTCAAATGTGGAGATTTGATAAGATCAAAAGAAAATTACTAGTTTTACCATATAATGATCAATATATTGCATATCCTCTACTGCATTTATAATTGTCTTAAATAATTTTATAATAAATAATAATCGATCACATTTTTCAATAAAGTTAAACATAAAATATTTGATAATTTTTAATTTAAATATTTGGAAACTTTTACTAGCTAGAAAAGAAAAATAACAACAAGCTAACGAAAAGTTATTTTAAAATCTTTTTAAAATCTTAAAAGATTTTTATAATAAAATTATCAAATTAAATAATTATATTTATAATTTCTTTATTACATATATAATTATTTGTTTATTTATTCCTTTTAAATAAAATTTTAATTTTAAAAACTATTATTTATTGTGTTTTTTTTTTTTAATTTTTTTTCAAAATTTTAAATAAATTTATTCGTTGATAAGTTCAGATTCGTTGAAATTGATTCTATCAGGTTATCAAGATTACTATCTGGTTATCTGTAATAAAAATTTTAAAATAAAAAATTATTGTTGAGAATAACGAAAAAGATTTCTGTTCGCGCACGAGCAAACCGTATCGACATGTTCGACGATTTTGTTGAAAAAAAAAAAAAAAAAAAAAAAAGGTTTTGTTTTGTTTCTTCCTAATATAGGCACAAGTTAAATCCTGTATACGTACGAGCAAATAATACTAAGCACGACCACGTCGCGATCACGATTGACACTCGTGCGAGTCACCTGCTCCGTACTACGAACGGGCCTGATCGGAGTGTGATCGGGCCTCGCGCCACCGAGCGAATTTTCAATATTTTCAGACAATCGGCGAAGCTCGAACAGTGAGGTCGCAGGCGAGTGCGTTCGAGCAACTCAATCCCGATTATACTCTTGATCTTGCTCCGGGTCTTCGATTATATCTGTTTATCTATTGAGTACAAAGTTTATTGTTTAAAATTAAACCGAGTGTGTTAATCAACAAAGAACTATTAACTTCATTCTCGGCCTTGCAAGCCACTGACTTCACTCCTCCTTATCGGCGCGAAAGCGTCGAGTACCAATCGACCTACGCTCTCCTTTTTCTATTCTTGGTCCTTCGAGTTATCACCGTCTTTCCCTGTCGCTGAGAAGCGATAACTCCTCCGTCACTATCAAGGCCAACAATACGGTGTGTCTAAATTAACATAAACAAAGGGTGCGAAGAAAGTCAGTTATGATATAATCTTTAAGTGATCTTGATCTATTGCTAAATCTAGTTTTTCTCAAATTGTCTCTATTTGTTTATTTCATTGTCTACTAGAGAAGTTTTTAATATTGAATTTGAGTTTTGGAATATAATTGACTTGTGTATATAGATGACTTGGATGTCGTTCGATTTGAGATGCATTGAAAAAAAAAATGGTTTTTGCCACAGAATTATGCTATTGGCCACCACAAAATTAGATACTACTGGATTAAAGCGGAGATGAATATAGTCCTGATTCAAACTGGATGATACGGATAACATTTTAGGCACATATTACATATGTTTATATATATAAAATATAACATTTATAAAAAAAAATTTATTAATAAAGCACACACACACAACACACTGTTATTGTAATATCTTCTTTTAATAATTATCATAATTTATAATTATATTTTGACATTTATTTAATATGCAATTCTATAATGTACAACAATATGGTAGTTATATTCTTTGTTATTGGATATATAATAAGTAATGTTTATTTAATTTAAAACTTGCTAAAAGAAAGGCAATTAAAACGTACAGATGATCTTTCATCACATACGGAGATTTTAACGAAAAAGAATAATAAAAACATAATCAAGGCAAAAGTAAGACATAAAATACTACATTAAACTTATGGCATGATGAAAACACATACCCTACATTACCACTTTCTGGCAAGAGACACGGTATAAAAACCTAGTAAGAATTCATTTTATTTTCAAAAACTAATTTTCAGTTATATTACTCTCAATGGAAAGAATTATTGTTTTTTTTTTTTAATATGTAAAATTTTATTTTATTAATTTAATATGCTGGCATCATGGAATATTTAAATACTGCTACCTTTATTAACCTATTATTTATTAATTTATATTCCTATGTAAAATATTTATTATTGAAATTTATATATTATATAAAGTAATTATAATTTTATAAAACCAATATTTAAATGTATAGATAACAATTATAATATACATTTAAAATAAAATTAAAACAATATTGATAATTCAATAATAAATAATAGTATTAATAAAAAAATATTTATAAAATAAATAAATAAAATTAATAAATTATTCTATATAATTTATAATAATATTGATTTTATAAACTTTATATAAAACACGATTTTTTCAATAATAAATAATAGTTTTATTTTTTCAATTATATTAATAGTATTACTTAAATAATATAAATATCTATATAAATTATCCAATAATAAAATAAATAAATTCTTAACATTCCACTTTAAAGCCGGTAGCACATATACATTCAATATGGGAAAAGCTTCAACATACATATAGCTAATAAGCTACGAAGGATCATCGCTGAAACATATCATGTTGAATTCTGCCTGCATTGAATTCACCACGTATTATCGGCCTTAATATAATAAAGTTATACAACAATTCTGTTAAATAAGCATGATTAATTAAATTGTTATTTTGTTATTTTAAGATAACTTCAAGCGAGCTCACGTTCACGGTGGTAAATAATTATTTTATTTATATGTTTTGTATTTTTTAAATATTCCTTTTTGTATAATATTTTAATATCCAATATAACTTAACTTTCAGAATTTTCAGAATTCAGAAAACAACTTCTTAAAGAAGTTCATCTGATTAATCTTAAATTAAATGATCTTATGGATAACGTGAATATACTTGTAAAAAAAGCCCAATATGCTGATGAGCCAGAACTAAATGATGACACTAATACGGCTGTTATGACTTTAATACAATCGTTTCCAGTCGTTACAGAGCAGGAATTAATGTCGATGGAAGAATGGCTATCGAGTTCAGCTGATAACATACATGCACTGGTGTGTACTTAATTATATTATTATATATTATTTAGATTATATTTTACATGATGAAAATTATTTTCTAATAAAGAACTTTTTTATTTTGTGAATTTTATATTTTAGAGTCATTAACTGCGTTTAATTGGAGGCACAGATCTTCCCCATGTAATCAAAGCCATTATGTCGAGAGCAATTTCAAATGAAGTTGGAATGCTATATTCCTGGGAGGGAGCTCGGCAAAAAAAAGCTTTTAAATCGCTAAAGTTCGTCCAAGTGATCATTGGTAAAATATATTATTTTATATTCTACATCAAAACCATTTTAAGCATATACATATACGCTTGAATCAAGCTTCATCGTAACATAACTGTGTTGCGTAATCAAATAATATTTAAATAGAAAAATTTGAATTTGAATTTAATTTTGTTACATTACTTTGTCGCTTTCATTTTTTTATTCACAATTTTTTTATTTAATATCTGTAATATATATGTATTATATGATGATGTTACGCATTAAAGTTCGCAGATCTGTTCACACCGGTTATGTTGCACAGTTACGTTATGTAATGCTCATATGCGTGCGTAACTTTTATATTTACTAAATGATTTTAGGTGTTGTTCGACTGAACTCCAAGACAAAATCTGCAACAGAATCGGATATCATAGAAGTAATAAAAAATTGGCTAGTTAGAAGTAAAGAACGCAGTAACAAGTTTCAATCAAAAAAGAAAACGGAAAACACTGTGTGTCAAACAGATTCCGTTTGTGAAACAGGCTCTGCTTGTGAAACAGGCTCCGTTTGTGAAACAGGCTCCGTTTCTGAGAAAGACCTTATTCAAGATTAAGATAATTATATGTATAACTTGCCGATATATATATATAATTATTTGTTTTACATTTATTACAAATTAAAAGTAAAATTTTAAGGTTTTAAATACTATTAATTTGATTGTTCTGCTACTATATATATTATTTGCATTTATCATTTTTGTTTTTTTTTATTAGTGCACATTTATCAAAATTGCTTTTTGTTTTTATTTTAAAATTGAGTTCTTTTTATTTTAAAACTTCAAAACACAACAACGGTTGAAACAACGGTTTTTAATTGTATAGAATATATTATATATGTATGTATTAGAAATAACTTCATTGGATATCTGTACTATACATACATAATATGACATTTAAAATGTTTTTCGAAAATTATAATAAAAAATAAATGCTAAAAAATTATATTGATATACAAAAATATATGTATACAGTGAATATGTTTATTACATCCACTGTTTATATGTACATACATTTTCGTATATCCATATAATTTCTTTAGCATTTATTTTTTATGATATTCGAAAAACATTTTGTACGTCATATTATGTATATAGTACACGGATATCCAATGTCGAATAAAATTAGCTGGAATCTTGATATATATATATATATATATATATATATATATATATCAGAAAGAAATATTTTTATTGGCTCTCAATATTAAAAATATAAATATGATGTTTTTTTTTTTTTAAATCGGCCAACAGAGCCAAAGCACGAAAAATTAATTATTCGAAACTGTATCTCTTGGTTTGAAAAAAACATATTTATATTCTTAATATTGAGAGCCGATAAAAATATTTCTTTCTGATTTTATTCACGCCTTGGCCTAATCACGGCGTTATTTACTAACATCTACTAAAAGGCAAATGAAAAATATAGGATCGAAAGGGTCTGGATAGCTTAGTTGGTAAGAGCAGTCGCCCGGAAAGTGAAAGACGCGGGTTCGATTCCCGCTTCAGCGACTTTTCGGACCTATATTTTTCGCGCCTATTTCTCCATATGTAAGTTTCGAGATTAATTTATATATGGAACTTAGTGATCTCAAACCAAAAGATACAGTTCCGAATAATTAATTTTTCGTGCTTTGGCTCTGTTGACCGATTAAAAAAAAACATTATATATATATATATATATATATATATATATATATGTTATATATGTTATATATTATATATATATATTATATATATATTAAAAAACATTATATCGAAAAATGTATTGTAGAAGGAAGTTTAAACCGAAAAATGTATTGTAGCTCTCGGAGACTTTTTTGCAGATCGTTAAAATTTTGAAATTTTTAATACATTTTTCGTTTTTATTCTCCCAATTTTAGAAGGATACAACTTGGAAGGAAAATATTTTTGGATCCATGTTTATATAAAATGTTTTTTATTTTTACCTCTAAAGTATGCTCTTAAAATCTGTGACATAGTTTAGAAAATGTACTTTTTCAGATTTTCTTTCAGAAATCTTGTACTTTTTCATACATGTATTTTATCATGTTCAAGAGCGGCCGATACATTCGCGAATTATGTAAATTTTTTAAGATTATCATTATAAAATATTCGGTGCGGCGAACGGTCGTTTGTTGTTCTTTGCGCTGTATTTTTGTCCTCGTCAACTTTGTTGTTGTGTCAAAGTTATAAGTTAATAGCTAATAGAGCTAAGTGCTTATTGTTTCGTAAATATTCTAAATAAAAATTTGACAACTCGAAAATAATCAGGTAGACCGGCGTAAACATAACGCGCGCGAAGGCAGGACAACGACTTCCCTTTTTTCTGGTCTTTCGATTAGCTGTTCGTGCGTGTTTTTCCCGGGGCAAAACATCGAGACAAGACGTCGTGCGCGTGCGCGGCAAAAATAAAGAATCCTTTAAATAAAAAGCCAGAGTATCCACTAACTGCGCAAAACGTTTGCGAACGTTTGTAAACGTTACGAGCGCTTGTAAAACTAATAATAATATTATAATAATATAATAATAATGTAGTATCGGGACTCCTCTATAACGCGTAAGTGGGTGATGCGGAGAAGGTTGGGCAGAGGGCCTAGGTAGCTTAATGGTTAGAGCAGTCGCCCGGAAAGCGGAAGGTTCCGGGTTCGAGTCCCGGTCTAGTCACCCAAAGGCCCGATTCTTTTTCGCGGATCCTACTATAATATAATATAATAAAAATATATAATTTTGTAAGCGTTTGTGACGTTCACAAACATTTGCAAACATCTTGCGCGGTTGATAGATACCCGGCTTAAGGCCCCGAAGCGTCCACGCCAGATTTCTTGTTTTTCACCAAAACATGCACAAATCGTTTTCGGACAATTAACCGTGCTTTTTTTGTCGCTCGCAGAACGCAGACTTACACGCCGATCGCCTTTCGCGATTATTTCGGAGTCGCTCGTTTCGTAATCACTAAATCAGATTATTTACGTTTTTGTTACGTTTTTTCTTGTATTGGTAGATTAGAATAAGTTCATTGTTTGTTTTACAAAGTCAACCGCTTTTTTTACACTTGCATCCCTTCACTTTTTCCACGCCTATTTTTTTTTATTTTCCGGAAACAAAAATCCTTAAAATTTTTTAAATGTTTTTGGGATGAAAATGAGAATAGAAATTTTCACATCGTTTACTTTTTCACGAACCTTTTTTTTGTAAAATTTTCTATATACAATACTTACAACATTTCTGGATGTACCGAAAAAATATCCTGGATATAATGATAATGATGATTCAGAACTGCCTTCATATGCAAGAATTGCTAATTGATATATTTCTCTTTCTGCACATTCTCCAAGTCCTCGTACGTGTATCCAGTAATAACCCAAAGTTTGATTTGCACTTAAAATAAAATCAACACGTTCACCTACGCAATAAGAATAATAAATATATTTGTGTACGTAGTAAAAAAAGCAATACGCATGCACACATTCACACACCCGCGGCACATACGCGTGCACGCGCACATATGTATATAGGATGTCCATAAAATATATGCCCATTCGCTATATTTCGCAGTTACATGTATTTCGTGGTTTTTTAATAATTTTGAGCCGTTTCGAAAATATAGGGATGGGGATTTTATGGATACCTTATATTACATATATTGTATACATACAGGGTCTCAAAATTAGATTGACAAACTTCAAGTGGTTATAAAGGAAATGAAAACAAGCTAATTTTGTCAATAAACATTTTTGTAAATGTGTCATTTTGGTAGTAAAGTGATTTTTGAAATGAAGTGTAATAGATCTAATAAGTCTTTGTACATTAAAAATTCTTACAAAGAATAATTTATTTTTTAATTATAAGTAATAAACATTTGTTTTAATAATTATTTGTGGTAATTGTGCATCTTAAAGGAGCTACCTCCGATTATCTTGACCTTGACATATGTTGTCAAGGTCATGACCCTGAGTACCCTCCAAAAGGTTTTAATCTGCGTTTGTAATTAATTACAAAATGATTAACAACTAGCGTTTCGGACCGCGCTTTGTGTGGTCCTCAAAGCCTTTTTAATCAAACCGCGGAAAGCGTGGTCCTCATATAGTAGCCTATATAAAACTTGGCCGATTTTCAGCTGACTCCGCCTAGCAACTCCCCTTGTCGCGCATCGTCTACAACCCGCTGGCGCCTCAGGAGCGTGTGATTTGAGAATATACGTGAAATAACTTTTTTTAATCTTTTTATTGCTTTTCTCCACTCTTTTCTCCTTATTTCTTTTTCTTCTCTCTCTTCTTCTTCCCTTTCCCCCTCCTCTTCTCTCAATTTTCTTACCACTCTCTCCTCTACTCCTCCTAATAGCTTCATAAAATATCCTCTCCACTCTTCCATCTCAATCTCCTCATTTATTCCCTTCTTCTTCCTCCTTTTCTTGTTCACTATTTCCCACACCTCTTTTTCTCTTTTTACTTCCGCCGCTTTTTTCTACCTCTCATTCTCCTCTCTTTTCTTTCTCTCACATAGCTTCTTATATTCTCCTCTTCTTCTTCTGTACTCCTCTCCTTCTCCCCCTTCTCTTCTCTACCTCCTCAGCTCCCCCTTTATCTCCCTTTTTTCTTCTCTACATTCTTCATCCCACCATCCTCTCTTCTCCGCCTTTCCTTCTTTCACTTCTTTCTCCGTTCAACAATTCTGAGATTGTGCTCTATTGCGAACTGAACGCTGTCGTTCTTTAAGTCGCCTTATTTGTTGTGGAACTGTTTCTCGTGTTCTTTTATCTACAACTTGTAACCGTTGTTCATCGAGACATTTTATTTGTTTCTCTTGCGTTTCCTGATCTCTACTGATTGTTGTGCGAAAATTTTAATTAACTAAACACAAAGATCTCTGTAATGTCGTTTTTCGTTTTCTTTTTAAAATAGTTTCCATTTTCTGCTTCATCAAACGCAATTTTCTCTCTTCAATGCTCTCTCGAGCATACCTCAAAGATCTTGCTAAGCTTATTTGATTCACACAAGCATCATGTTCCTCTTTGTTCTCATTGAGTCTATTTAATTCTTTTTTCCTCGCATCTTGAGTTTTTCTAGATAATTTAGTTTTTACTTTTGGCATTTTAAGCCTAGTCAAAGGTTAATATTATATTAGATCAATTAATTAAATTTAATTTGATCTTAAATTAAAATCAAGTATTTTAATATTGTATCAATTTTTAATTTATGATTTAAATAATTTATATTTTTAACATTAACAATTATATATCAATCTGTCTTTCAATATTATTTTTGTTAATTGTTTTTATTTAATAGATATTTATATTACGATGTCGTAATTCAGTTAAATATTATAGTAATGTAATCAATTATATAAATTTAAATAAATTAATTAAAAAACTTAAACCAATTATTTGATATGTAAACCCGTTATCAAAATAAAGTTTGATGTATTTATCGACGAAGTCTAAAATTTAAAAATTACTTCAGTTGAATGATTGGGTTTAACACAAATAAAATGAAACTTAAATCTGGTGTTACCTGTCGATAGCAGTATAGTCAACTCGATAGCATATATCAAAGAAGGAGATATGTACTTGAATTTTTCTATTATTT